TGATGGTAAATATAACTTAGAGTCAAATTACTAAGTTCTTATCCAAATATAAATATTAATATAAAAAAAATAATAATATAATATTATTAGTGAAAAAAAAACACATGTTTATAACCTTATGTTATCCAACGAGACGCGTGTCTGTGCAATAACAGCGACATCTATTATGAATCATCAAAACCACTTTCTATGGTCAAAGACATCGATCGATAGTTATTGAGTTGCTGGAGATGTGTATTAATTAGTACTGTGTGGTTTCCGTAGAGGGCGTTAACTGTACAGACTGTTAACTACAGAACGTTTGTGATAATGTTGTGTTAATAGTTGTTACATATATTAATATACCGCACTTCGGTTCTATAATATAAGGCACCAAAATGTCAGAAATAGAGAAACTACTAAAGGAATTTAGAGTTGACATAAAAAAGACTCTGAATGACTTCTTGTGTAGCTAAACAAGAATAAAACTAAATAATTCAAGAAATAAAAATAAGATACACGGGATTACTTACCACTCATAATTATAGCTAAAAATTTTATTTTGTTGAAAATTATAATGGTGTTTATTGTTCACCATGATTGTGAGAGCGAGATAGATAGTAAAAACATGCGTGAGAGACACGATACGCGATTATCTAACGCGATTTCGCTCGCACAACTACGACGTTTCCTATCTCTGTCCTTGTCTATCGGTAAATTTAATTTTGTGATTATAAAGAGAACAGATGTCTGTAACATTCCGTTTTCTTCACACTAAGCCGTGTGTCGACGACTATCTCTTTCTCTCTTTCTGCACATGTTGTCATACTCTCGAAGCGGGCGGTGTTTCGTAAAAGTAAGGTCTATTAGAATGCTTCTTTTGTTGACATTATTTTTTTAGTCTCCATTGACATGCCCTTTTGCATAGTTCAATTTAAAACGTATTTAGTAGTTTTCTAAATTGAGAGATTAACTAAAATATAATTATTCATAGTATTAAGTTCTAAGTGTTAATAGTGTACCTAGTATAAACAGAAATAGTGGTACTTGGGTATTTATGTGGTCAAATATTGTAAATATTAACTATGTTTACGTCGGCCTGTGAAAACAGTAGAGTGATATGGCACCATTTTGAATAAGACAATAAAACTTTTAAGCAACGTGTAATGAATGTAAAGATGTATTAAGTTATAAGTCGTCCACCGCCAATTTAATTTCATTATATTTCTTATTCTGTACTGTTATGTATTATAATAACCGCCTTCGATGTTTTTCCACTCCTCAAGGTTGACAGGCAGAGAATGCTTTAAGCATTATGTCCGCCTTTTGTACTTATATATTTTATAAGGTTCAAAAAAGTTAAATAAATAAATAAAAAAAATTTAAAAATCATCATTCAATCATTGATCATCATTCAATCGCCATTTTAAAAATAATTATAATCCACACAAGTCAGATAGAGATAACAAAATAAGTTACTCAACTCGTACAGATTATATATAATAATAATAAACATTGTTTGTATTAGCCATATTATTTAGCATTTTTAAGAAAAGAATAAGAAAAAATTTATTATATTAGTACTAGCCATTCGCCCCGGCTTCCCAAGACAGAGAGAGTAAGTTGTTTGACCATTATAAGCTGTAATACGTTGGCACAAAAAGGTAAATTGATAACTCTATGACTGGTGCATAGGGCTTAAAGTCATTAAGCGGTTCGTTAACATTTAAGTATTATACTGGTTTAAACTGTACCTATGTGTACTTTGCCTATGATTTTCTTAGTAAACAATGCAAACTAATTTCAGTTAAAAACAGTATTACATTATTGCATAATTGCATATTAGTCTACTCTATTGTAGAACTTGTGTGTAATCAGCTAAACGTAAATAATACAATTACCTTCAACTAATGATAACTGATAATGACAAAAAACAACGAAATAACAAAAAAAAAAAAGCAACTAAAAATTGCAAAAAATTGTACAAAAATGTAAATTATAAGTTTATGTAACCAGAGTATGTGGTTGAAATAAATGTTTCTTTTTTTATTATAATACTTACGTTATAATAAAGACGTATTCAATATATTGCGATGTAGGTATGATAACTGATAATGACAAAAAACAACGAAATAATAAAAAAGAAAAAAAAATTAACTTAAGAATCGAAGATACAAAGATACAATACACAAACTTCCGACTACAGTGGAATTATTTTTTGGGCACCACACGACGTGTCTTCTTACTTTCCACACTTTGAACGGCCTGAATGACTTGTTTACGACTGGCCCCATCTTGCTGACAACTGGGTTCTAATGGGCCTTGCTGCACAGTGTCAGACGAGGAACTAGGCTGGGGCCATTTAGTAAGAAGGATATCAAACTCTTCCTCAGTGAAAATTTTTATGCGGGTACTATCTGGGAGTTTAATGTTTATGGTTCCATCAAGAGTCCAAACATTCTTCATGCCGAAATGTCTGTGAGCCTTCTTATATGTACTCTGTCGCATTTTAGTAAGAAACTCCGATACCGTGTATGATGTACTCTTTAATTTAGCCTTAGATCTCCAGACTTCGGATTTAGTATGATGATTATAAAAATGGACAAGTACAGCTCTTACCCAATCATTTCCCGGAGCTCCCAATCGATGACAGCGTTTCAAGGAAGACTTGCTTATATGTGAAAGGCCCATTTTATTATTAATAAGTGCAAGTACCTCTTGTTCCTCATTTAATCCAGGCTCTTCAGGAATACCATTAAAAAGAAGCACCTTACGCCTTTGTCGCATATCTATTTCGTCAACTACATTAGTACACCTTTGAAATTGTTGCTGCAGAAGACTAAACATGTTGCTCACTAGATCTTTAAAAGCATAAAATTCCTCACTTAGCCGGACCAAAGTTGGATTGGATGGGACTAATGCAGCTTTTAAGCGTTTTTCAAACTCTGTCATCTTTTGCATCCAGCTAACTTCAAGTTCCTTCTGCATCAGATCAACCTTAGTGACATTTGCCATTATGTGCTTTTTTAATTACTTGAAATGTGTATATATAGATATTCACTTGTAAGCTAAGTTGAGCTGTAGGGTGATGCAAGTAAGTTCTTAAATCTTCTTTAAACACATATGTTTATAATATTAATGTAAACTAAAATGTGTAAATTCACTGATTTGAATGTAATTTAACTTAAATTTGATTTAAATTATTTTTAATTGAATAAATAAACTGGAGCTATCAAATCAGCTATTGACTTTTTCACACCTACCCACAGAAAAAAGTTGTTCTATAATTTCAAATAAATCTGGTTTACTCTTTGACCAGTCGCAAGAAATGTTTTTGTCTTCCAACCATTTTATCATTGCAGATTTTAGCGAACTTTTTGTTGGGGGCTTATTTAGCTAGACATTATGGTAAGGTGCGACGTCCATTACCACGACACTGCTGTCAGGAAGTGAAGGCAAAAGCTTTCGACTAACCATTTCTCAAAATTATCGCCATTCGTTTGTCCATGATAGTCGCCTGTAGTAGTATCGTCCTTAAATATCAAAAAAGCCCCCGGTAGAAATCAGTTTTTGCCTCCTGCGCTAACTACTATGAGTGTATTTCCAAAAGGAGTATCTGTGAGAATTCCTTTTGATCGAGTCATTTGCCAACACTTTTTGAAAGTAGAATTATTGTCCACACAAGATTCATCTAAATAAAAAATATTTCTGTTGTGTTGGAAAGGAAAAGCTATTTTTCGCGTAACCTAACAGGTAGCTTGGGACATCTCGAAACTATTTTATTTTGTAAATAAAATTCTGTTTCTTGGAAAAAAAATTCTGTTTCTTCTGTACGATCAAAATTGTCTACACAAAATTTTTGGCCTGTCTTCTTCCATTTTGTGGGCGATTTTTGTTGTGTATCATCATCATCATTACAGCCCTTCTGCTGAACATAGGCCTCCCCCAAGGAATGCCACAAAGCACGGTCCTGAGCCTCCTGAATCCACCGACTTCCTGCATATCTTACCAGGTCGTCACTTCATCTAGTAGGGGGACGTCCTACACTTCATCCGCCGGTACGAGGCCTCCACTCGAGAACCTTTTTTCCCCATAGGTTTGTTGTGTATTGGGTCCTACTAATTTTGATTAGGATTTTATTCTGAACAAAGTTCTTTTCGATAATCCGGATTGACACGGTATTTATAACAGTTTTTCCGTTCACTGTCACAATTTTCTAATAATTTTCTGGCTAGTTCTCGTGCTTGAGAATGAATTAGTTTTTTTTTTTATTTTAACACGTGACGAGGAAGGGACCGAAGTCATTTTAATGCACAACAACAAAGAACTATGTGAACGAGATCGAAATCGATAAAAGCGGTCGATGCAGCTTGTACAGCGCTGTGCGGATATGCGGGGTGTCTCCTCCCCCGCGCCTCAAGTCATACCCGATTGCCATGTTGACTTGTCGCGTACTATACTAAAGGCTCCAGTACACGTTGGTCGAGCGCGCTTGGGGAGCGCGCTCGGCAGATTTTGGTGGTCACAAATAGCGATCACACGTTAGCCGAGTGTTCAGTTCATAGTTACGCTTTACGGCTTAATAAAATTATTTCACGACCATGGCGACATGGCCTAATGAGGAAATATTTAGGTTCATTGATTCTTATCACAATGAATCAGTTATATGGAACCCCAAATATGAGCAACATAAAAATAAGGCCGCGATCACTAACGTCCATCATCATCTAGCTACCAACGCAGAATGAAGCATGCCAACGTGTGAACGGCACCACAGCAACACGCATGCCAGTCGTGGCAACTATGGCAAATATCCCCCATATGAGGCAATCTTTGGAGGAGGCCTATGTTCAGCAGTGGACTTTAATAGGCTGTAATGGTAACATAAGATTGTGGATCTGACAAATCATCATATGGGCCACGATCTTAAGACGAAATCGAGATTGGTAAATAAGGCCAAATAATACACAAATTTTGATGATCAACATTATTTAATAAAAAAAAACGACAATAATGCGAGGTTATTCATTAATTTCATGTCTGTTTAACTTTGCTTTTGTTGCAGCCTGAATCAACTGTTTTCGTATTTCAAATGCAATAACTGCTGCCGCCATTCCCGTGTTTAAGCTATCGACGCCTCTCTGAAGGGGAATATTTAACCGTAAGCCATTTTTTGTTGTTCCTAACCTGTAAATCAGTTTAAATTATTTTTGATTCTAAATATATATACAACACAAAAACAATCTGTTAAGGGGTATACAAATATGTCATACCTATAACTCATTTCACTTATGCCTTCTGTCTCTCCTCCTATAATAAGTGTAACATGTTTTAATGAAGCAAAATCAACTCCATAATATGGTAATATAGGTAAGCTTGACCCAACATCTTCTGATTTATACTCTGCAGAGTCATTTTCGGATAAGTTCGTGTTACTGTCAGCTATGAAGAGTGAGGTATTCTTAGGTAAATGTTGAGGAATTTCCTCCCAATCTATCGAAGGATAAACAGGCAATCTGAAGTGAGCTCCTGCTGCACTTCTAATCACTTTCGAATCCCACATATCAACACATCCTGAAAATGTTTAAAAAAACCTTTATTTTAATATAACACTACAAGGGCGTCTAAACAAGGTAGTTAAGAGATACTTGGCTAATCACAGATTATTGAGGATAAATGTAGATGTCTATGTGTCACAGCAACCAATTACCATCAGGTGGACTGGCCTCAGTCCTCTACTCATTTTTGAGATGGTTTTAGGGCAAGGAAGAGTCCGGCGCGCTGCCCTAATGCGTGTTGGCGGACTTCAAATGTCTTCGAAATATTTTTCTTTAATTTCTCAGACACGCAGGTTTGTAAATAAGCACTTAAAATTGCAATTAATAATTTAATTGGTGCCGGCGGGGATCGAACTCGGGTTGCTTGCGTACTGTGTCAAAATTACAGCATGCGCTAAGGCCTTGAGCAACCACGGCTCACCATTTAATACGTACTGTTACAGCCTATTGAAGTCCACTGATGAGCATAGATCTCCCTAGATTGCCTCAGAGGAGGGATATTTGCCATAGTAGCCACGCTTGGCAAGCGGGTTGGCAAGCGTAGTTTATTTTTATTTTTAGTCGTTATTAGAAAGACGCTGCTGCCTATATCCTGATTTGTTTCCCTCTACCGCCTCCTTCGACATCCACGGGATGATATTGGTATTGGTTAATTGATATTTTTGCAAAAGTTTTACCTACGAACTATATAACTTTTGTTAACTTTTTTATATAAAATTCACACACACTCTTAAATACTTATCTCATTTATTTTTACTTAAATATTAATAACAGGGCTTTTTAAGAAACAGATAATCAATTACCACATATTTATACCACTTTTCATTTATCATTATCACGTCATACATACTCTAAGTAATTAGTACAATATTAAGATTTACCCTTGCTTAGTAAGACTTTTTCACAGCCAACTCCAACAGCTGCTCGAAGAATAGCACCCAAATTTCCTGGCACCCTAATATTATCACACAAGAATTGAAGTGGTAATGGTTTTGATAATCTTTTAACATTTTCTGGGGTTGGCATTTCAAATACACCTAAAATGAATGAAAATAAGACATTTTATGCTTATTTATAAATAGATTGACAAAGGATGTTTTTATTATTACATCATATCAACAGCCTTAGGCCTTTCCAAGAAAGTACTTACAGGCAACAATTTTTAGATCTTCCTTCTTTGAATAATAAATTTTAACTATATGTGATAGACGTGGTGCTTCAATAGCTGGCCGTATAACGAAGCTTTAGATCGCTCAGCGCGCTATAGCGACAGTTATCGCAGCAACTATGCCGGGAGTTTCCCTGTATGATAGACTTCTTAATAAGAATTGTTTTTTTTTTCTACCGTCAAGCAGCAGCAGTGTTCCGGTCTGAAGAACGTAGATAGCCAGTATAATTAGAGCCGGAAAGGCATTCCACCTTAGTCCTTAGTGGTTACACCACATCTGTAACCTTCTTTGTATAAATTTGGTTGCAGGTGTCCACCGGCTGCAACAATCACTTAACATCAGATGGATTGTTAGATCGCTAGTCACATACATTTGATATTTAAAAAATCCGCAGTAGAACCAGTGTAAGCAACATCGCCAACTTCGGATCGGTAAGCTGAAGTGGGAATGGGTTTTTTCTTATTATTCCTCTTAATATCGAATTCTCGAAAGGTAGCCACGTACCAGTAAGCAGCTGGCAGATAGCGTTATCGTTTATACATTCATAAATCATCGTTTCGTGTATGGCGGCCCCTCAATATATATAGTGACGACCTGGTTAAACATGGAAGAAGCCGATTGATGTAGGTGGCTAAAAGACCATTTTTGTGGCATTCCTTTGGGGACGCCTATGTTCAGCATCACAGACTTGTGAAGGGCTGTAACTATGCTGACGATGATATGCATCAGAGTATATTATAATATCTTGTGCAACTGTTTGGAATGAGACTTTTCATTTAAAATACCGAAATATATGTTAGTAACATTTGGGATTCAATTAACTCATAACGACAAACCTTTTAACATCGGTAGTAATATTAAAACCTAATTAAGTTTCATTATTTTCTCTTCTCAATAACGAGTGGAACGTAATTGAATCTAAGTCGATTTTCAAAGTGCAACTAATGCAAAATGAAACACCCTTGCAAATGCCGTATGGAATTAGTGACACAGTTTTAAAAATTTCTTAATTAAAGGTCTCAGCTGGTTTTAGCATTATTTTTAAAGTTTGATGTCTTGATAGAAAATCAATGAATGAAAATCATAGGCCAGTGTCATCTCTGTACAGTTCTACAGTTTGAGCAATTGCTGTTATGGGGTGTGCTCATAAATCATGAAGAAATTTTGAAAAAGCCAATTCCCTACTTGAATCTTTTGTTCAGAATTGCTTACAGCTTAAGACCTGAACATTTTATGCAGAAAATAGTAAAGTCGCAGGAAAATATTTCCTATCAAAACTTCTGCTAGATTCCCTCAAGTTCGGGAATCTTTTGCAGATACTTCTGGAACCCGTCCTCCTAACAATCATCAGAGCCTCAATTCTGTTTACAAAATCCCTTTTACTTCTGCTGTGCTTCCTCCACAATCCCCATAGAGGAAAAACATATACAATCCAAGAAGACCTCCAACTCAGCATCAAGTCATGGATATGAACCTTCACATCAGGCCATCATAGAAACACCTTCCATCACTAATGCCCAATTACTCAAACCTTGCTCTATATTAAGATGCCGTTAAGTCTTGTGCTGTCTCTATCACTTTAAGTCAAAGTGAGTGTGACAAAACAAGACTTAACAACATCTTAAAATTGAGTAGAGTTTGACTATTTGGCCATAAGAGATGTATTTTATTAGGGCAAAACATTTACGATAATAACAATATCTGTGAGTTAATGATTTCTTCAATGAATTGAACCACTCTTCATTGATAACACTACTTTTACAGATTTTATTGCGTTAAATGAACTTATTTTTCTTATTTTTATTAATTCCTGGTCATGGGGAACTGGGTGATTGATTTCCCGATGTCAGAGTTAACCCAGAGTACCTTCAGCTTTTTTAATTATTAATTTTGTAAAACATATTATATATTCTTTAGAATAAAATGACATAGATAGAAAATTATTTCTGGGTCAAATGTCTATTAACAAAAATGGAAAATGGAAAACTCCATCCATTATTAGAAGGGAAAGCCATAATATATTAAGCTTGCCCCAAATCAGATACTTCTTTTTTTACATTTACCTATATAATAAAATGTAAAAAGGAAAAAGAAAAGGAAGATAAAAAAAAACATTATTTGTGTTACCAATATAAGCAATATTATTCTATCACTTCATTGATCAAGCTAAGCATTATACCTACGAAGGTACAAATCCTGCTTCATTTGATTACTACTTGACGAGTACTTTTATGTGATTTAACTTTTTATTAAAATATTGATTTGTTTTTAACTTTGTAGAGGAAACTAGGAACTCCACCGTTGCCGGTCCCAAGCCCGGATGAGAAAGGAGGAGGGGACGAATCCGCCGGAGAGAGTGGGTGTATCCGGTGGACTAACACACCCACCTGCGCTAGGACCTGCGCAGTCGAGCGCCGTACGCGGGGATGAAGGAGTCCTGGAGGGTTGAGCCGATCGTCGCTGGGGTATATAGTGGCGAGAGGCAACACGCCCTCTTTGGTCCGGATTTCAAGCTAAACGGTGGCCCTATCTGCTAGCCACAGATAGGGAAATGGCCAAGCGCCCCGTCAGAGGGTCGCAGGCGAGGGATGTGGGGGCTGCCTAGTCTTCCTGAAAAGGGGGCTGGGTGATGGTAAAGGCCATGCTGACGGAGCAAGTGACAGTTTATTCGGGTGGTGGGGATGGGCCTTGTCAGCCCCATCTACCAGCTGGATCGAGCTCCCGATGTCGCGCTGTGAGCCAACTTCGCGTCCCTATATTCTCCCGGTAATCCTAACGCCTGAAATTCCTTTTGCTTCTAAAGTAGGGCGTTCCCAAAGGTGCGGGCTCCATGGAGGGTGGGAAGCCGGGGGGATGAATTTTAAAAAACACAAATTATGGACAATTTAAGGCCCAATAAGAAAGAGGGAGAGGTGTCAGAGGTGCTTACCAGAGACACCAAAGAACAAAAGGGAACCGTCACTAAACCGACGGTTCCACGGACAGTACCGTCCAGCGTAGGTGCCCCCACCAAAGGGATAACCTCGCTGAACGTTTCCAAAACCAGTTCCAAGGAGCTGGAAGAGAAAAAGGAACAAGAGCCCGCAAGTGATAAAACTGCGGAGCCACTACGGACTGACGACCTTTTCTCTGCTGCCTGGCAAGTGGTGAGCCGTAAGGGGAAAGGCAAGGCACCCAAAAAGGTGACTTGCCGACCTGACGGACCATCAGGAGGGTCTATCCCTGCAGGCAGTAGTGGAAAGGCCAAAAAGAAGAACAAGAAACAGGGGGAAAAAGGCCGTAGAGAACGAGCCGCTTTGGCTGCTTCAGATACCAAAACCAAGGAGGCTGGGCAAGCTACTGCGACTGAGGTGCTTGGCGCTGGAACCAGTAGCCGCGCTGAAGCTGGGAAGGATAAAAATCCAGCCCAAGTGGAAGTCGCGGACGCGGGAACCAGCTCTAGGATATCCGCCAGGAAGCAGCGAGCGGCCAAGCGTCCTGGGAAGAAGGAAAAAGCAGCCAAAAGGATGCTGGAAGAGTCCACCTCGCCTAGAGGTGAACACAAAAAAGTGCGACTCGAACAGCAACCAAAGACTGCAAGAACGAGCTACGCTTCCGCTGCTAAAGCAGATTTGGGTGTGGCCTTAACGTGTGCGCGTTCAGGTCACATTACGAAGGAAGTAGCAGACGACATCCTCGTAGCAATACAGAGGAAGATGATCAGCGAGGCCTGGAGTAGCCAGGACCCTGATGCGTCGGGCCCAGTTTTTAGGGGCAAACCCGTTTATACGGAAGGTGTCCTGAAACTGTGGTGCGACGATCAGAAGGCTCTGGACTGGTTGAAGGGGAACATTGCTACCCTCGACCTTAAATCCAGCACCTTGCTGACAATAAAGAAACAGTCAGAGATACCACAAAGAGTCAAATGTGGTATCCTTATCCCTGATGCCCAGGGGGCCTGGAAAGACTCACGCGACATTGGTCGCGTGTTGGCGTACCAGAACCGCTGGGTTAACATCAGGGACTGGCTGTTACTCAAGGCAGATAAGCAGACGGACGGGTGGTTCCTCGTTGTTTCGGTGCCGGAGGATCATATCCCGACCCTGATGAAGGCCGGACGCCGTCTCGCATGTGTATGCGGGGCGGTATACGTAAAATTCCAGGGTCGTGGAGGCAAATTCTTTGATACTCCACCGAGCAAAGAGGTAGAAAACAACCCGGAAGTTATGGATACCGGAGCCATAGTTACCGGTACAGCGGAATCACTGGAGGCCAAGTCCAGTGAAGAAACGGCCTGCACAATTGAGCCGAAGCCCCCAGTGGAGATTGGGCTCAGCGGCAGCTCACTGAGTGACGAGGAGGACTGCATTTTGCCGACCACCTCCGACTCGGTGGCTGACGATGAAACCCGAGATCTTCTGGCAGGCCTATTTTTGGGCGGGGACGGGGAGGACGCGATCAATGATGGCGTGCCCTTCGTCCAAAACTAGCCTAGTGCAGGCCAACCTCCACCACAGCGAAACTGCGTCGGCTCAATTACGCAAGTGGTTGGAGGTTCAAAGGACTGCCATAGCCTTAATCCAGGAGCCGTGGGTTGGGGCTGGTAAAATTAAAGGCCTAAACAACCTAAAAGGTAAGTTATTCTACAGCTCTGAACACGACAAGCCTAGAGCGTGTATTTACACTACTAAAGATATCTGTGCACAACCTTTAACAGATTTCTGTTCTAGAGACATGTATGCCGTAGCAATACAGTACACACAGGAGAGTAGATTAGTCGTCGCCTCGGTCTACATGCCGGAGGAAGACACTCCTCCCCCTCATGACCTCAGCAGGCTGGTGAACTTCTGCGAGAGGACCGGACTAGAGGTTGTGATCGGGACGGACTCCAACGCACATCATCCCCTTTGGGGAATGGAAAAACCAAACGAACGAGGTAAAGTTTTAGTTGAATATTTATTTAGTACTAACCTAACCATTTTAAACATAGGTTCTGAACCTACTTTCATAAACAAACGCTGTCGCACTATAATCGACCTCACACTTGCAACAGAAGGAGCAGCCAAACTAATTACGGGATGGCATGTGTCAAGAGAGGCCTCATGCTCAGACCATAGATGGATCTGCTTCGCACTACAGGTCGATATCCCCTCTACACCACCATGGAGAAATCCCCGCAAGACAGATAAAACAAAATACCTAAATAGGCTGACGTCTTTGCTAGCGGATTTTGAGGGGATACATACTATAGCAGATCAGTCGCTCCTAGAAGAACAGGTAGCAGCTGTTACTAAGGCCATGATAGACAGCTACCATGAATCATGTCCAGAAATCACTCCACCAAGACATGCCGAGGTAAAACAACCGTGGTGGGGTAAAGAACTCGATAGAAAACGTAAGAAGGTAAGAAAAGCTCTAAATAGGGCCATGAATACCTCAATGGATGAAGACTGGCTATTATATAAGAAAGCTAAGTCTGAATACAAAAAATGTATCAGGTATCGACGCTCGATTGGGTGGCGTAAATTCTGTGGCAACATAGAAACCTGCAAACAAGCAAATAGGATTAGGAATATTCTAGCTAAACAGAACACGTCGGGATCCATGTCTCTAAAGAAACCCGACGGTAGCTACTCAACATCGCCGGATGAAGCCCAACGCATCCTAATTGAAACGCACTTCCCAGGTTGCTGCGTAACCCAGGAGGCAAACCGGCATGACGACATACTGACATCAACAGCAGAAGACTGGAATTTAGCACAGAGAGTGGTAACGATGGACAAAATCCATTGGGCCATTCACAGTTTCCTCCCCTATAAGGCGGCAGGACCCAACGGCATATTCCCGGCACTCCTACAGTGGGGGGGTAAAGCCCTAATAGTCAGACTTGCTGCCATAATGCGAGCCTGTCTTGCTCTTAAATATGTTCCTAGGGGATGGAGGGAAGTGAAAGTTACATTCATACCCAAACCAGGTAAGAGCGACTACACTGACCCTAAATCCTACAGGCCCATTAGCCTCACATCCTTTCTCCTAAAGACGATGGAGAGGATGTGTGAAAGGGAATTAAGGGGGTCGGCGCTAATGAACTTACCACTACACGACAAGCAACACGCCTACAGTCTAGGCAAATCAACAGAATCGGCCCTTCATAAGGTAATTACAAAGATTGAAGAGGCCATCCAAAACAAAGAAATATGTCTAGGTTCCTTCATAGATATAGAAGGTGCTTTTGACCGAACGAACTTCTCCAGCATAAAAGGTGCACTCGGTAGACACAAAGTTGAACCGGCACTGATCGACTGGATAGTTTACATGCTCAGTACACGAATAATAAAGATTGCTGGTGAATCTCAACCAATCCAAATTAAAAAAGGCTGCCCGCAGGGTGGGGTTCTCTCACCTCTCCTGTGGAATATGGTCATTAATGAACTCATCAGCAAATTAAATGACAATCACTTCTATACAGTAGGTTATGCTGATGACCTGACAATACTGGTCTCTGGAAAGACAGCAAGCATAGTGTGCGACCTGACCCAAGCGGCTCTCCGTATAGTGGAGAGATGGTGCAGGGAACACGACTTAACCGTCAATCCAAATAAAACGGTTTTAGTTATGATCACACAAAAACGAAAGCTGAATAACTATCATCCTCCAAGTCTTTTTAGCACAAAACTCCAGCTATCCTCTGAGGTAAAATATTTAGGTCTTACCTTGGACAGCAAACTTAACTGGAATAAACACATAGAAAACAAAATCAACAAAGCTAGTATAACTTTCTGGCAATGCAGAAACATGATTGGCAAAAGATGGGGATTGACGCCAAAAATCATACTGTGGCTTTACAAAACTGTAATTCGGCCCATGATCACATACGGCGCTCTGGTATGGTGGACCAAGACAAATGAAGCCACCATAATTAAGAAGCTTCAGCGCTACCAGAGACTGGCATGTATGGCTGCCACAGGCTGCATGAGAACTACGCCAACAGCAGCCTTAGAAGTGATGCTGGAGCTAACTCCGCTTCATCTACATATACAACAAGAAGCGACTTTAGCTGCCATCAGACTCAAGACCCTAAATCTTTGGAGTAAGAATAGTGTCCCTCATACAGGCATAATTGATAGAATTCACTCAAAAATTCCTATCCTACAAGCCAAATACGATAGGATTCCTAAACAATTTGTTTTCGATAAGAAATACAAGATACAGTTAAATGAAAACAGCCAGCCGGAAGGATTAAGCCCAAAAGAGCTTAGAATTTTCACCGATGGTTCTAAAACAAATGAAGGTGTAGGTTCTGGAGCTTTCAATGGATAAAGAATGGACCCTGCAATGGATAAAGGGACACAGTGGATCCAGAGGCAACGATGCAGCAGACGAACTGGCTAGAAGAGGATCGGCTTTGGCCACTATAGGGCCGGAACCAATCATACCAATCCCCTTTGGTAACGTTTGTTCACTGGTACGTAGACACTTCACTAATCAACACGCTCAGCTTTGGAAAAATCTAGTAGACTGTAGACAAGCCAGGGATGCCCTGCCTGAAATAAACAGTCGCTTAACAAAAGTTTTAATGAGACTGAACAAGCCGCAGATTAGGATAGTAACAAGTGCTATCACAGGACACGGCACCTTTAACAAACATTTATTTACTATAGGTGTTACAGATAGTCCCCTGTGCAGGGCATGTATGGGGGAGGAAGAAACGGCGGCCCACGTGCTACTGAAATGTCCGGAGGTCGCTACATACAGGGCTAAACATCTCGGCACGCCGGGATCACTCCCCGAAGTTGCATGCAACATCAAGGGCCTGTTGAGCTTCTTCGGAGAGATCTCATGGCTCGAATAATCACATTATTCCTGCCCACACGCAAAATACGCGCATAGACGTGGAGTTGCGGAAAACAGCCCGTCGTAAACTAAACTAAACTAAACTAAACTTTGTAGAGATACCAAGGATATCTATCGTATAAGTATCTAACTTGTGTTCTATTTTAAGCAAAAATAATTATAATACTGTTTTGTGCATCAGATTTTATTACAAAGAAAGAATGAACATGCATATTTTATATTACAAAGCTAAATTTTTTCAAATATTTAACTTTTTTATAATAATGAAACAGCAGAACGCATACATATTTATAATAGTCATATATGAGTGAACTTGCGGTGGGAAGGTCAATCTACCTCCTGAGTTTTTAAATTTGAATATTATGGTTTCATAAGGTTTATTCAAAAAGGTTCAATAAAATTTTTAGTAGTTTGTAGCAAATTTGTAATAAAGTACAATGAGCAATGGAATGATATGACTATGAGATATAGTCTATCAAATAAAAATATCTACTTCTTTAAACCTACTTCCCCACATAGATACACTTTCCCATAATTTGGAAAATATTATGAAAATGATGGAAAATAAAAAATACTGCAGCTACATGTTTCTGGTATTGATATACCAGAAAAATGATGACCTGATGAAAGATGGTGCTGATTGTTGATACAATTATCCTTATTTATATAATTGGAGTGTTAATGTAATATATCCCGAATTTACATACCTAAAATTCCAGGACAAGTTTCCACATCAGAAAAAAGTTCCATTTCTCTATATGGAATTTTAAATATTTGCACTCCAGTTTGTGGTAAGAATGGCCTTAAATTATTTAGATCCTCTACTTGACTAAATAGTATGTAACGTAAATTACATTTTGCTTCCAAGCCATCGACAATCAAACGCCAACCTTCAACAAGTATTTGGTTTAATCGCTTTCTTTCCTTTTTAGATTTTAATTTCACCAAAAGTGAGCTGAAAAATATAAAACAATAAAATTACTATATTACACAACATATGAACTATTCTATAACTTTCATAGTACTCAAATATTACATCTAAATAAACCAAAGCCTAATTTAAAGTTATTCCAAATCCTAAAGCTTTCTTTTGATACTTGCAACATAACTACAATATGTTCATTTACAGCTTTATTGCTATGGATACCAGACATGAGGCCAGACTTTGTGAACATTTGCACAGGATCAATTGGCTGTGCCAAAATATTGCATGGCAGTCAAATTTAATAATTATATAATTCAACTCTTTGATTCCAACGACGAAACAGTTCTCCACAACTTATTTTGCCCCACAGATGGTGAAAGAAGCAACTATAGCAGTACTCATGGCCTCCAATAAATAGTTATAATATAACCATCATTGCAATTCTTTAGCTTCTACATGAATATCAGCAAAAATTGTTTGTGATCCAGTAATTGAAAAAATAGAGTGCATTATGATTGTGGATTGAAGATCATAACAAGAAAAGAGTGCCTCTATCAGGTCCTTTATTCCATAAGAAGACAAAGCTTCTTTATGCACAATTTAAAGAGCCTTGTGGTGAAGGATGATTTCAAGCATCAGAAGGTTGATTCAATAAATTTAAGATGCAGCAATCAGTAGCATTGTATAAAAATTGTTGGAGAAGCTGCAGCTGTAGATATAGAAGCAGGAGGCAGATACCCAGAAGAATTTTAAAAGTTGATTACTGACTATGGAAACAAGCAATGCTGATGGGACAGCCCTGTTTTAAAAAAAAAGCTAAACAAACATTTTATATCCACAAGCTTTTCAAGTCCACCCCCACTTTTAAGTTACTAAAAATAGTATATATCTTTATATATATAAAAATTACATGTCACATTGTTTATCTGCGATGAACTCCTAAACTACAGAACTGATTTCAATGAAATTTTGCACACTGTGTGCAGTTTGGTCCAACTTGAGAGATAGGGTAGTTTTTATACCGATAAGTGACCCTCAATTTTTTTATTGCTAATTTCTTATGCATATGTTAATTGTATATGTTCTGTCAATTTAAAATATATTGGTGGAAAAGCTGACAAAAGTTGTCTCATGATTACTATGCCACAGCACAGTTCTAATTTTTATCCAATATTAACAATGCAACCAATAAAAACTTTAAAGTATTTCTACTGCAACAATTCTTGAACAATTTCTTGAAGAAATATGTATCTGCCTGGCAGTGTCAAACACTTGTGCCTCAGAAAGCATGTAAATCCGTTAGTCCTGTGTCTGATCTCTCTCCTGTCATGTCCGTATACTGTCCCATCAGACTATGAGAGTGAGGGAAAAGAGAATGCTTGGGTATACACTTGGGGATATAATCCTAATGATCAAAATTCGGTCTGGAGGACATTATATGTGTTAAAGATAAAGATATATTTATTTGCAAAAACATGTGTAGATAATAATACATTTGTTGTTTATTATTGGTCTTAAAGTTATAACTTTGAATCAACATGTTTGACCATAGTTGGTGTACAAATATGAAAAAAATAGAAAATAAAAATAGCTGTAACAGATAATTAATGAGTTATGACAAAAGGTATAATATCTACTAAATAATGTATCAGAACATGAAGTAATTGAATCATCAATCATCATCATCATCATCATCAAGTAAAAAAATCATCAAAAATAATTATACAATGGCATTATTAACAATACAATGATATTAACAATGTATATAATAAAGTAGTAAATAGTAATTAAATAGGTTTTTTACATTTATAAAGATTTGTCATTAAGGAAGTCATTAACATTATAATAGCATTTTGCAGTTAATATTTTTTTAATGTTTTCTTAAATAATCCTGTATTCAATTGTTTAATGTCGTTTGGAATTTTGTTATATATTAATGGAGCTTTGCATACTACACTTTTACGTAGTAGCACTGTTTTAGCAGGGTGAGCACATAGTCTATTGTTGTCTCGACAATTACGTCTTACATATTATGCATTTATTTATCTTTCTTTGTTTGTCTTATTTATTTGTCTTTGGCGGCCGACTCCGGTCGCAATATCTGCATGGGATTTCTAGGAATTTGCTACAAATGATTCATTAAAAACAGTTGCTACACCCGAACTCGGCATTACATCCAAAGTCGCTATAGCCACATGAATTTTGTACTAAAATATGCTTTAAATTCAAGGGATTTAGATTTAACCTCGCTATAGGTAAATGGTCACTACAACCAAGGTCGTAATAAATGAAATCCACTGTATATAGATTGTGTATATGTACATATATTTAAATAGGATATATGTTGTATATATACATATATGTACATTTTGTATTTATAAATAAGATGATCCGCACATGCCAACAATCTCAGGCACTCCGGGTAAATTCAGAGAATACCACATGGAATTAAATCTGCTTTACCCTTGTACCCTTAGCTTTAAGATGTTACATTTAAGATCTTAAATAAATAAATCCCAGGTATTACAGGTTGCCATTCATCCCCTTTTCATACCCTTCATGCAACAGGATACTTACAATAGAAATGTTTACTACATACTCGTGTAATTAACAAAAAAGGGTTTCCTCCAATGTTTCATAATTCAGACTTCAAATGTGGAGTTCATCCAAAACTTACCATAATCATCAGAAACAATTTCGTCTCACTTACCTTATCTTAGTATCTTTGTCTTTCACTTTGTCATAAATGATTTCATTGTTATCATCAAACACTTTCTTCTGACTAAGATAAAATAATCTTTTCTTCATTAATGTTTCTTTTTTATCTCTTACTTCCTTGAATTTATTTTTTGTTGATAATGACACATTTTCTAATGTTTTCAAGTTATCCGAATTTGTTGCCTCGCTATCAGATTTTTTAGAGACTTTGAAATCTAAATTTATAACATTTTCTCTTTTTAAATTAACGCTAGAATCAGACTCGATAGGTAATAATATTTTAGATGGTTTTCTATGCATCCATCTTCCATAAAATCGAACTAAACGAAGTGCTACAGCTTTCCGTGAAAAAGAATACAATAATGGGTTACATATGTTATTCGCCATAATAAATTTATTGCGCTTACACAATACACGATTTATTTTAAATTACTTTGGAAATAAACTAAACAAATTTTTAATTTCCATTGAAGTCACGGTAGGCTTGGGCAAAAAATATCTATATATAGAAATATCGATATATATCGTCAATACATTAAATCGCGATCTATCAATATTTATTTTAGAGTATCGAATTCGTATCAATTTCGATATATTTTAAAATGTTGTATTAAAGACAAAACATGTAACAACAAAAGGAGGTAAAAAAGTATTCATTGAGTTGGTTGTCGTTTTTTTTCGTCGTCCAACCGTCAGTAATATAAAATTTTGGACCTTATTTTCGCATCATACAAATGATAACATTATATCGATATTTATCACGCGATGTATATCGATACTGTTTAAAAATATTGATTAGATACTTATCGGTATATTTTTTCCCCTTACCCATCCCTAAGGCACGGCTGGTAAATTAATCTTTCATTTTTTTTATAACTGTCTTTACGGCTCTGGGTTCCAGCCCTTCTGTATCTGAAGTTACAATGTATAATTATTCTTCATAGCCATTCAACCGTCCGCCCCGCGCGAGTTATTCTCGCCTGACCTGTCCGCGAATTAAATGTCACTATTTTTTACGACCGCTCGAGACAGTCTTAACAAAAACGATTACTACTGTAAAACTACTATATCTACATACAAATAAAAAATATTCTCAAAAGACTAAGAATTCAAAATTTTATTTTGTTAAAAGAAAATTAGTCAAATTAAAAATAAAGCTTAAAAATGGGAATATAAAAAAATGGTATTTATTTTTTATTTCGAGTTTTAAAAGAAAAGTGTAATACTTACCGGAGACAGTTATTTTATATTATAATAGTACATGATATTCCCTTTAAAATGACACCAATATCAATGACATCTTTTATACTCAATATACATAAGTATATAATGTTTACCCAATATAAATTTGAATAAATAAGTAAATAAATGAAATAATAGATTTTAATAATTTCTAGACTCAACAGATATTTCGTTTATAAATTGCTATCAACGTGTTAATAGTGAATCATTATTTTATATTTTGCATTCATTTAACACAAAAAACGATGAGAACACATTTTAAACAACATATAATCAATAAACGATTATCGCGTATAGTGACATTGAGTTATATGTACTACGTACTAGAGGAGACACCTCAACACGATTGTTTGTAACACGCTTTAGAGTGCGCGCTCTCAAACTCACTTAGTCTGTGTCAAGCGGTTGCTGCAACGTGAGAAGTTTGAGTGAAGAATTACTTTTAAATTAATATGCCTTCGTGTGCATTGAGATACTGTTCAAACAACTCGAGAAATATAAGTAAAAGTCAAGGAGTGACTTTTCACCAGTAAGTTCAACATATTATTATCTTTAAAACACGCTTAATTTAATTACATTTTATCAACTGCAACGTATACGTATTGGCCGGCAACGCATCTGCATTGGCCGGCAACGCATCTGCAATTCCCCTGGTGTTGCGGTTGTTCATGGGCGGCGGTAGTCACTTACCATCAGGTGAGCCGCATGCTCGTTTGCCCCCTCTCATATAAAAAAAAAAAAAAAAAAGTATACGGGAATGTCAAAGAGTAAACATTTTTATAGTGCCACCAACTTATCTGTGAACTGACAGCTTGGCGCTTCTGCGCTGAAGTGTTGCCAGTTCGGGAATATTCCCATCTAAGGGTCTTATATTCCTACATAGAGTCCACATACTAGGGTAATAAATTAGTCACGGAATAAAAAGACTAGAACACAGATTTAACAGACATATGTCCAAGAACAAGAAGAAACAAAAATATCATAATTGAACAATTTAAACTTTAATTATATAATATGCCTTTATGCCTTTTTTAACGGGCGTTGTAATTTGCGTGCCTGTGGTTTATGCGGTTTCCGGTTCTTTAACTATTTTGGAAATGAATCCTTGACTAACATCTGAAAAAGAAATGAATTGCATTAACCAATCCATTTATCGGAAATACGAAAGGAAGGAACAAAACATAGCAATACTGACCTGTAGCAGCTGATACTCTTTTATAGACCTGATTGAAAGGCATTATCGGTGCTTACCCTCGAGCTTCTTGCTCACAAAAGTTTAATACTTATAAAATAATGTTTCGGGCATCACTTTTAATGGTTTTCGGCATTTTTTATTTTTCTATAAACTCTCAAAACAATGACGTATCGAGTGACATTTGATTAAATGGCGGCTGAAGTTCACAAATTTGCCGCAGCTGTCAGTTCACAGATAAGTTTTTTTTTATTATTTATTATTTATTTATTAAGAAGAAACATAATATACAAATCACAAACAAATCAAATCTAACATAGCTTGTCGCAACTTTAAGTTTTTCGTAAAATGTAATTTGCTTAAACTCATATTAGAAACCCTACATTCTGTACTGATTTTATAGAAAAAAACCGTATCACAGTAATGCAGTATTCTCCGTTATGAAAAATTAAACATTGTTACATCAACAGACTTATGCGATAAACAAACACAAAATTTGAAGGTAGATTGTGTTCTTTTTATACAAAATAATAAGTGATTTTACTAAAACATAGTACATTCAAAACTTACCGATGCTTTGTTAATTCTTTTCCTATATATTTTATTTATTTTATTTAGGTATCTTTTCTAAATATTTGAATCAGTAACTATAAACCTAGGATATATAAAGTAATAAGTATATCGATCATTTCATATAGTTTAATTTGTATAAAATGTGTATGGAGATTAACTGAATGTGAGATTCATTTGTACTTATACGCTAATATTAATATAATTAATGTATAATAAATATATACATAAATATAAATGGTGTGTTATTTGTGTGTTATGATGTGTAGTGTATGTTTTTCAATTCATGCTTAGGTTATCGACTTTAAGAGGTTTTCTGTTTCTTCGTAGTTCAGTTTTTTGAAAAAGGTATTTAAATGTTTTTTAAGTGATAAGTACTGTCTTTTCTTAATGTTTATTTGTTTATTAATTTTATTGTAAACTAGTGGACCAAGAAATTTACAAAAAGAATGAGCAAATTTTGTTTTGTATTTAGGAATGTTGAAAACTAAATCCTCTCTACGGTTTCCAGAAGATTTCACAGAGGGCTGTTTATGTTGCCGTAATATAAGTTGCTTTAAAAAAAGTTGTCGCACAGTAAGAATGTTAGTTTCTTTATAGAGATTATGAGTTGGATACCTATAATTTTTAAAAGACATAGTTTTTAATATCGTTCTTTGTACACGTTCTAGCTTAAGTAAAAGAGTTTTACATGCACCACCCCATGATATTATGCAGTATTGTAATATTGATTGACAAAATGAATGGTAAACTGAGATAAGCAATTCTTTATAACATACATGGCGCAGATTCTTAAAGATATAAGTTAGGCGTCGAACCCTTCTAGACATAGTATCTATATGCTTATCCCATTTTAAATGTTGATCTAAAATTACACCTAGATATGTGACAAAATCTGTTCTCGAAATATTCTTACACACACAATTTAATTTGTTAAAGCAGTTGTGACATTTAATGTTATATGTGTCTCGTTTGGGTAATGAGTTAGACCTTATTCCATAAGCAATATACTGAGTTTTATCAATGTTTAAGGTAAGTAAATTATTATCCAGCCACTTGCTAACAGTGTTAAGACCTTCCTCCGCAATTTTAAAAGTAGTGTACCATGACTTAGAACTAAAGGTGAGAACCGTATCGTCTGCATAACTGAGTATTTTTCCGTTTTTAAGCTCCAATCTACATAAACCATCTATATAGATTAAGAATAACGTAGGTCCCAGGATACTACCCTGCGGCACACCAAACTGGATGCTGGATTCAGAACTAAACATTCCTTCAATTTTTAGAACTTGTTTTCTATTTGACATGTAATCACTAAATAGTTTTAGAGGTGTGCCACGTATACCAATGATTTCTAGTTTTTTCATTAATATAGGGATAGAGACTGTATCAAAAGCCTTGGCCAAGTCCAGAAAGATACTAATACATTTTTCACCAGCATCTATCCTATCAACAACATAAGAAACTAATTCTTCTAAAGCATTATTAGTCGACCTATACTGTCTAAATCCAAATTGGTTAGTGGGCAGTAGTTTAAATTTCTCAAGATAATTTATGAGTCTCTTGTTAATAATCTTTTCTAACACTTTTGATAGCGATGGAAGAATAGAAATTGGTCTATAGTTTGATATGTCGTCTTTGTCCCCTTTCTTGTATAGAGGTATGATGATTGATTTTTTAAGAGCATCCGGAAAAACGCCTTGTGATAGACATAGGTTGACAATATACGTAATTGGAGTAGCAAAAATATATGAATATGTTTTCAAGAAATGTGACGGAATGCCATCCCAGCCAGCTGAAGAAGTGGTTTTCAATGTTTTAAGAGTAAGAATAATCTCATGTTCATCAGTGGGAAGAAGTACGCATGAATGAGGATAGGCATATGAAGAAATTATACTTTTACAAAGCTTGCTTTCAGTAGTTGTAGTTCTTTGAAAAATATTTTCGGCTAATCGATTTCCAGTGGTAGCAAAGTAATCATTAGCACAATTCAGCGAGTCTAAAATAGTTGATTTAACTTGAAGAAGGTTGAAACAGCTTTCCTTTTTCTCATGTAAGTTACAAATACGTCTAATGTTCTTCCATTGTTTTCTAGTATCACCTTGGGTTTTCAATAATTCTGATCTTTCATAGGAATTTTTAAGTTTTTTTAGCAAGTTATTGCAAGTATTTCGATATCTTATGTAAGTTATCTTAAAAATAGTATTTAGAGGGTCAGATTTCATTTTTTGGTGTAATCTATCTCGATTTTTTATACACCTTAGTAACCCTGGTGTCATCCAAGGTTTTAGTAATCTTTTTCTGTTAGATGTTTTGCATATGGTAGTAAATTTAGTCAAAACAGAACTTACAATAGATAAAAAGTTACACGTCGCTACATTAG